GAGTGTTCTATATTGTAGTTATGCGCGTTTTCGTCTCGTCCCAATCGTCTCCGCCGCTGTAAGGGATGGGAAAGGAAAAAATATCTCTTATTTTTCAGGCGAGAGACCTCACATTTGGAAGCGCTCCCCTTTTGGAATGGTTAGTAAATGAAAAAACCTAACACTTCTTCCAGACCTTAACCTATGCATCTACTTCGGGAAATAAGTTCAACCAGTGCTTATCGAGCTCCTTCTCAAAAGCATGTGCGCTCCCTAGCTCCACCAGCTCTTGTCGTAACTTATTCCATGAGTTGACTACCCTGTTGCTGAAAACGTTCGAATGCACCGCTAGTCTCGTGCGTACTTTCTTCAGCTTGTGCATGTGCCCCTAGTATTGCTTTTCCTCCTCTCGAAGAACTTTGCTTGATTCGTCCCTGATAGGCCATTCATAATTTTGAATGCCTCTATCAAGTCACCTGTGAATCTTCTCTGCGCGAGGAAGAGCCCAAGGTCCTGCAGTCTCTGCTCATACGACTTCCCTTGCTGTCCTTCGATCATCCTTATGGCTAATCGTTCAATCCCCTCGAGACAAGCGGCGTCCTTTTTGACGAAGGGAGCCCAGGCTTGTAAACAATACTCCAATACTCGAAAAATGGCCTTGCCTAGAGGTATGAAAACCCCCGGTTTCCTACATGTTAGTGCCGACCTCAATCTAAAAAGCTCTCAAGGGGCACAGTGAACCGCTGCGGCACACTGTTCTGCCCATTTGTAGTCTGCTGTTACTATGATTCCTAAATCTCTAGCTTTCTGTGTCGTTCCTAGTGGAGGACCGCCGTGACTACTCCCCACTATCAGCCCCTGGTCTCCAGTGGTCAAGACATGCTTCTTTCCTATGTTGAGAGGCAGATCCCATGTACTTGACCACTTAAGCACTTCTCCTATGTCCCTCCCTAGCTCTGCTATCCCATTTGATCTTACTACCTTGACGTCGTCCGCAAATATTTAGCTGGGCGAGCTTAGACGTTCAGGCAAATCATTGATGTAGAGGAAGACTAGGAGTGAACCTAGAACTGATCCCTGAGGAACACCACTAACAATAGTTTCCATTGGCAAGTTCGCTTCTCCGACCCGCAACTGGAAGGTCCTATCGGCCAGGAAAATTGTCGGTCACTTGTGGATTTAACCCCTTATACCTAAAGCATGTATCTTGGCCAAAAGTAAGCGATGACATACTGAGTCAAATGCTTTGCTAAATTCCAGATAGCATACTTCCACTTGCTTACCCTTGTCTAATCTCGCTGTGACTTCATTTAAAAAGTGTAAGAGGTTGCTGAGACAGGATTTTCGCATCAGAAACCCACGCTGTGCCGCAATCAGCAAGCGGCGCTGAGTGAGGTATTTGCATAAGTGGGTTCTAATAACTCGCTATAGCACTTTGCACAAGATGCTTGTGAGACTAACTGGACGATAGTTGTTCACCTTTTGTCTCGACCCTCCCTTGTGTATGGCGACCACAGTTGCCGTTTTCCAGTCCTGTGGTATACTGCCCTGCTCTAGAGTTTTGCTGAACGGGTGGCAGAGTGGGCCCCCTAGAACCTCGGCTGTGTTTAACTAAGGCTGGGTGGATTCCATCTGGTCCGGCGGATTTGGTGGCGTTAAGCTCACCAAGGACCCTGCAAACCTGCTCCAGCCCCACGTGAAATCCCGGGATATCTGGTCCAGCCTATGTACACCTTTGAAGTTTTCTTTAAATCGCACTGCCATATCCATCTCACAGGGTAATAATTCTTCATCGTCCGATACCAGAGGCCCTACCTTTTCACTGAACTCTCCCTTAGATTGGACATAATGATGATACCTCTTTGGCTGTTATTTGACACAATTTGCCAACTCGAGCTCATATTGTCGTTTGAGCTCGTGCTGAACTGCCACTACTTTGTTTCCATCACTGGTGTACTGCGCCAAGGCTATATGGCTGTCCGTTTACCTAGAGGTGTGCCAGCTCCTATTTCTACGCTGTATTGTTCTTCTAATCGCTGGGCTCCACCAGGGTGGTTTGTTCTTCGCTGCCCTGGGTTTTAAGGGAGCGAATTCATCCTGCCTTGATCCGGCCCCAATGCTGGTCGACGGAGTCGTTTACGTAGATAAGGGCCCACACCAGCTCCGCAGCTCGGGCCCTCAGCTTCGTCGCATCCGTCGTCTAGTAGTTCCTGAACATCCGAACATTACTCCTAAGCGGCCTGAGACTGATTGCGGTGGTGAGAACGACGTGGTCGCTTTGCCCAGCGGTGGATGGAGGGTGATGTTTGTCACATCCCTCTCCCTCGTCGTAATTAGTAGGCCCAGTAGATATGGCCTGTCTCCATCTCTGTACCTAGTGCGCTCCCTGACATATTGCTGTAGGGCCCTCGAGTGGATCCATTCTAAGCATGCGCTCTAGGGTATTTCTGTTCGCTCCCGCTCAACCTCCCAATCGATTTTTGGGAAATTAAAATCTCCCAACATACAAACTCTTTATAAGTGTCTGTATGAGCTATCTAGGGTGCATGGAGTGTCAAATCCTCCTCGGGTGTGCATTCCGGGCTTCTGTAGACTCTTGCTATGTTCACCCTCCTCGGAGGTAGAACCAACGAAACTATACACACCTGAACATTTCGGCTGCACTGCGCTATTTTGTCTTCGTGATGGGGTATGTCCTGTCCGACTAGGACAGCAACTCCACCCCCCAGTGTACCCATTTTCCTGTCCTCTCTGTGGACTGTGAACTGGCTTAAAACTGGTTCGGGTATGTAGTCTTCCTGCGTTAGCCACAGTTCAGACAGGACAATTACATTAGCCTTTGTCCCCGCAGCCACTGAGGTCAGCTCTCCTCACTCATTCCTAATACTACATGCATTAGTCGGCAATAGTACCAATGCTTTCCTGTTCCCTAACGAGTGGTGTTTTTTCACTCAGATTTTTTTCTTCGGGCGTAACACCCGGCTAGGCAGCTCTTTTTTTGGCTGATCTTTGTTGCCAGCTGCTGCTGCGACTACCATCTCCTCTAGCTCGTGGAGCTTGGAAACGTATGCTGGTCCCGATGACAATATTGGCTGGCCGGATGCGGCATTAGTTGATTCCATTTGAGTCTCATTTACTAACGTGCGATGCTCTGAGATGTCCTCAATTACTACCTTATTTGGGTTTGCTAAGATCCTTGGTGCCCTGGGCAGTTTCATTAGCTTAGCTCCAAATTTTTCTCTTCCCGTCATGTAAGTTGACGGTCTTCTATTTATTTCTCTGACTCGTGGTTGGGACGGTTCACACCATGACGTACCTGGGAGTTGACCACAGGTAGCGGCTTGTGTAACGTGGTGGATACTGCTGCTGCCTTCCAAGTCTTCGGCAAAACTGTTTACCAATAACTTTATCCCTGCGGTTTACTCTTTCCTTGACTTGAGGCGACCTGAGCGTAATTGCTCGAGGTTCTTCTGGGTGGTTCCGACGGTTTTGGGCTTTCGAGACGCTAACTGGTCGGTTTGCCTCCGGACTCTGATTTGCGCTTCGCGAACGCAGACATGGCCGCCTCCTTACACGGTTCACAAATCCACTCTATCCAGCTATTTGTGCAAAAGAATGCATAGTGGTTTTTTCTAACACCTGAACAACCAGAATGTGCCCACCTTTTCAGGTTTCACATTCGATTCCCTTTACCACCTTCTTCCAGCAGCTATCCTCCAAACATGGATAGGACACGTGCGTCATTTTAAGTACAGATGATCAGAATGTAAAACAGTGATATGGAAAACGAAAGATTAATACGATACGTAAAAGCGTTACACAAATCCAAATTAACCAATCCAAATAGCTATGCACGGAGTTTTGGTCCGCGCTGTTAAGTGCTATTTGACAGAGAACTATAAATAACTACAATGGAAAAACTCGGAGGAAAAAAGTGTAAAAGACAGTCTGTCTTTTCAATATAAAATAAATTTCAATTTATGGCAATTGAACTTTACTTTTAAGATTGACATAATAGGCCAATCAGAGCACGTCAAACATTTCAACCGCGCGCCAACGCACCGCAAGCGTCAGTTCAGCTCAGCTCAGATCAGATTAGGTTCCAGGAATTGCGGCTTGAGCCAACGAGAGTCCAGATTTTTGCTCGTGTGGGCGTGAATTTCCTCCCATGCTTCAACCGTCCGGTTCAGATCAGTTCAGTTGGCACAGAAAGAAAGTGGTCGATACTAATCGTGCTTCCAGATCGTTGTGTTTTTGAACTAGTTGACTTAGAGTCCAACACTTCTCGTCAATCGTTCGTTCTGCATTTTTCTGAAAGACAGAATGTTTAGGTGTAGTATCACATCCGACATCTTCATGTTTATAAGGCAGAGGGGCCGTGTACCGTATAAGCCTCTTTACCACCGGTACCGATAGAAACCCGCTCAGTGGGTTGCACGCTGCCATCTTCTCACCAAATGCTCGTCGAGACGGCGTTTGAATCGCGCCTTGTTTCGGTCCTCCAACGGGAGTGAATTCCAGAGAGTATTCATCCTCCGGGAAAGGCGATAGACCAAAAGAAGCCACGTCGACTAGGGCTTCTGGAGAGTGAGCCTGGGGCCGCGCGTCCGGTCGCATTCTAGCAGTGGAAAACTATCACGTCCAGATTGCCACGTAGAGTCATCCACAGGTGGATCAAGTCCTCGCGGAGTCTCCTGTAGCTAACCGGGCAGAGTTCAAGTGCCTGGAGCCGACCTACATAGCTGATCCCACGAAGTCCCGCGACTAGGCGAGTGGCGTAGAGCTGTACCCGTTCCAAGTTGGCCATTTTAGAAAGCGTGCAAGGGGATACAGCGGATCCACCGTATTCAAGCAGGGGGCGAACTTGGGAGGAGAACAACTTCTTGAAGGCCGTGAACGACAGGCCGTCAAACAACCGACGGATGGCACCTAGCATGCTTATTGCCGCAGAACATAATCGCGCGGTGTTCATCTGGGNCAGACATCAGCTCAGCGGTGCAACTTGTCCAAATCCTCTTGGAGGTCATGGTGGTCCTCCGGTGTTCCCATGGCTCTTCACAGATTTAAATCATCCGCGTAGAGGAGGCAAGATGAGTTTAACTGGGGGAGGGGGGAGAGCAGGTCATTCACGAAGAGGAGAAACAGTACAGCACAGAAGCCTGTGGCACTCCACTGGTGACAGGATGGCGACGCGACTTAGTCTAGGCAACTCTGACAGTGAACGTCCTTCGGACGAGAAAATCCTCAATCCAGGATAGTAAACCGTCTGTGACACCGTGAGCCACCAGCTTCTCCAACAACCGTCCATGTGGCACCTTGTCAAATGCCTTGCTGAAGTCAATGAATATGACGTCCGTCTCGTGGCCNGCTCCCGAGCAAGTAGCACATTCGAGATGCAAGGTCGTTGTGGAAGGAACCCATGCTGCTCCGGACACAGAAGATCATTCGGTAGGAGGTGTTCCCGGAGTCGCTTGGCGAGTACACGTTCCATCACCATGACGGCCACACAGATGAGATTGACCGGGTGGTAGTTGGCGGGGTCCTCACGGGCTCCTCTTTTGGACAGAGGGCATAAGATCTCGGTTTTCCACTCAGCCGGTAGCCTCTCCTTGGCCTATGACTGTCCGAACAAAACGGTCAACTCCTTCAGCACGATGGGATGCAGACCGTCCGGACCCCGTGACTGGTACGGTTTCAAAGCCAAGTCAAGTCAAGTCAGGTCACAGGATTTTAGGTTTCGGTCAGAGGACGTCCAGGTTTTTGCACTTGTGAGCTGGTGATTCCCACTGTGCTACGACTGCCAGGTAGTTCCACAGTTGTGATGGGTGTTGTACCTACAAGGGAAGAGATGGAGAGCAGGAGCGCCCTCGGGGTAACAGCAGTCTCAATCATTTGACAGGCGCCGTACCTCAGTGGACTGCTACTCCTGCCATGAGAGCTTCCCGGGGGCTGATGACAGAAAAAAATGTTTGTGTTAATTGAGCGTGATGCAAAGGAGTGATGGTAGATATAGGCAACGGCTACAAAAGGAGGATTTGGGTACTGATTGAGACTTGTACTAGTCACACACTGAAAACACCTCGTTCGAGCAGTTTTCTAGTCTCCGCGTGAATTGCATAACACTAGATGCTGCTACTACTGTAGGTGGAAGTTTGTTCCATGCGTTTACCACGCGGTGGGAGAAAACAGTACCCTGGCACTTCCGTTGGTCCGTGGTTTCATCAGCTTCAGAGCATGCCCTCTGAGGATTGGGTTGAGATTTCGTGTAAACAAGGATCTATCTGCTACTGACAGTCCTTCGAGCTGTTTGAACGTCTCGATCAAATTCCCCCATCAGGCAATGGAGATGCATTGAGAATAAGTTAAGGGCCGCCAGCCTTTCTTTGTAGGACTTTCCCTGCAGTCCACTGATCATCCGGGTGAATCTTCTATGTACTGTCTGAAGCAGTTGCTTATTCCTTACTAGCGGAGGGGCCCACGCCTGGACACAGTACTCCAGATGTGGCGGCACAAACTCCTTATACAGTGGCAAGATTACCGAAGCCTCTCTCGATATTACCGTTCTGCAGAGTTGAAATAGGGCTCTATTGGCCTTCGCTGCGGCTGCCGCGCATTGCATTGAGGGCTTAAAGGAGGAGTATACCTGCACCCGTAGATCCCTGACTACATCTGCGGGTTCTATGGTGTTCATCGATCCAGCCCCTAGTCGTCGCACCCCCGCGGCTCCTCTGTTTAGCATCGGGAGCCTGCATTTGCTGGCGTTGAGAGGTAGTTCCCATGAGGCCGCTCAGTCATTAATTGCGTTGAGTGCATCCTGTAAATCCCCCGATGAGGGCTTCCCTACTACTTTCAGGTCATCTGCGAATAGGAACCCAGGGCATTGGGAGACCTCAGTGACGTCATTGACATACAGCACAAATAGTATAGGACCAAGGACTGAGCCCTGAGGTACCCCACTACAGATACTGCCTTCCCCGAGGTTTCCTATTCGAACCTTAAACGGAACGTCTTTCTGTGTAGGTACACTTTGATCCACTTCACTGAATGCTCGTCTACGTGCAGGGCTTCCAGTATGCGCAGGTGGAATCTGTGGTTGACTGAGTCGAGGGCTTTCCTGAAATGGAGGTAGCACACTTCGGCTCGATCCCCTGCGTCCAACCTGTCTGTCACCTCGTCCATAAATAATAGAAGGTTAGTGGGACACGACTTTCTGTTGACAAAACCGTGTTGTTGGCCCGCTATGAGGTGTTGGTCGTCCAAGTAACCCACTAAATTCTCCCTGAGGAGCCGCTCGAAGGTATTCAGGACAACCAAAAGCAGGCTTACTAGACGATGATTCGATGCAGCCACCCTTGATCCACCCTTGTGGATTGGCACCACTTCTACCGTGGTCCAGTCGGCCGTCAGCGTTGCAGAGGCAAGGGATCGGTTGTAAAGCTGAGTAGGCGCACCTGCAATAATGTAAGCAATGAGCTGCGTTATTACTGGATGCAGCCCATCCGGGCCCGCGGCCTTGTTCTGATCTAGTTGTTTCAGTGCTGCTTCTACCTCCTTTGCCTCTAATGCAAAAGGGACCATGCTTTGTTCGGGGAGTTTACGAAGAAGGTCAGGCAACGGCCTTCCCAGGTCCGTTAAGTGGACCTTCTTTAAGATCTTTAGAACTTCAGTCTTCTCCTTGCTGGAGACTGCACTGACACCGTCTGCATTTACCACATTACCAACGGCAACCCTAGAGTGAGCGTTAGACTGCACATAGTTG